CAGAGAATACACTAGTATACATTACTTCCTGTAACTTAGTGTAGACTAGTGGGTTCTTTGTAGTAACATGCGTATTGGGTTTTGAAAAAAGAAACTAGACTGGTTCTACACCTTTTTCAAACAGAATCTACTGAAAAGCTACATTTATAAGTGCAGGTAACAGCAAATCAATCTAGTCTTGAATAATTACTTTCATCCCAAAGCAATGTGTTTGTGATGTATTCAGCGCTGAGTGCACAGATTAGGAGTGATGAAGGGACTCCTGGGCTGGACCCGATATTACATCTGTTCAGTCCCTCTTTCAAAACATCTGGAATTTAAATTGAAGCCACACAGTGTGCGACTTTAAAGCAGCCTCGAATTGAAACCACAAAAATATAAATCAATTGTAACCGGAATTATTTTTGTTATATATAACTAGCTGATTTAAAATGTACTTTTAGTGAATTGCCATTGAGCCTCTTACGTTAAGGAACAACACTGATATATATATATAGTAAATTTGCTGCTGTAAGCTTTAGAATAATTGGTGGTGATTCTGAAAATGACACTGTCTGGTAGTACCTTTGTAAATGTAAAATTTAAAATCTGTATTCAGCAAACAGAACACTAAGGATGTTAGTTATTTTTTCACCTTGTGAGTGTAAACTGCAGCTGGAGTAGTAGATGTGTTAAGTCCAACTTGGCTGATTGAATGAGTTCAACCAAGAGCAGAAAGCCTAAAAAAATAATGGGAATTTACTCTGCGGATTATGTGAAGTCTGAGTCATTATTTTTCCACCTTTTAAACAATACTGTTTAATTAAGGTCATTGGTTCGTTTTGACTGAAGCAGTGATTCTCTTTTCTGATGTTTATACACTAGAGTTTTGTGAAATGCTCATAACTGTTGTCAGAAATGTAACAAGACAGAGATTATAGGGGAGGCATTCCAGTATATTTCACATTGGATAGCCCCTTCTATTAACGGGAAAACTTTGTCAGCCACACTGGCCTGATGTCAATGCTGTCTTTCTTTCCTTTGGTGTCGGGGAAAAAGCTGTAGAACTGTTGGGAGCCAAATGATTCACACAGAAAATCTGTGAAGTTTGTTTTTTTCCTTTGTATCCTTGCAGCCTTGCTTCAGCAGTACAGCAGCTAGGGGAATCAATTCTTTATGCTACACCAAGCACGTAGAGGGTTGTTGCAGAACCTGAAATGTTTCGCCGTGTCCATGTTCACACTGACTGTTTCCTTATGTTAAAAAGGATCTTCATTCTGTCTCTAATTTCCTGGTTCAGTGGATAAAAATGCAGACTGTCAATGCATCAGTAAGCTTTTTTTCAAATTCTCTGGCTCTGCACTACAGAGACTTTTCCTCCGTACAAAACATTTTGCTTTATCTTCTTTTTGCAGACTCAAGCTTTCCAGCTGGAATAGAATTTGGGTTCTGTGTGCATGTATTTATGTTTCACTTGTGACTGTCTAAACTATAGGAAACTGGATTGACTTGTGTTACTGGAACAAAAAAGATGACAAGATGTTGTTGTATTTCTGTATTATGAAAACATGTTGATATCATTGGTCTGACATGATGCCAATGATCTGAAAAGATTCAGAGATGCTCAAAGTGAATGTAATCCCTTTAAAGGTGGTAAAGCATTACTTGAATCTGGCATAGTACACCTTGTAGGCTACTCTGAGAGTGGTCTTTCACAGAAAGTGGTAATTGACAAAGAAACCGAGCATCACCTGTGATCTGCAAGTGCATCGTACATGAGGAAGCAGTTACTTGTGGATCACAACATCAAGACAAACCAAACCGATGGTTGATCATGCAGTAATCATTCCTATTATACTGTACTTGTCTGAAACATGAACAACTTAAAGGCAACTCCAGGAGAGCTGGGGTCATGTCGTTTCCATGAGTGAACAAGAGTGGGAGGACTGAGGCCCTGACATCAATGCTGAAGCCATTTTCATCTTCAGCTCCATTGAGTTGGCCATGTCCAGGTGTTAGACTCCACTCCTCTTGTTCCAGCTTGGCTATGCCAAATTGCACCTGTGGAGCAGACAAAGGAAGCTCCTCAGCGATAGGACAACTGGAAAAAACACGACATCAATCTTATCTCTTTTGAGAGTAAGACTTTGGTCTGTACCGGTGGGAAGAAAAATCAGAGAAAAAGTCCTGCACTTTAAGACCCGAAGAATGTAAAAGCAAAGTGATGGCACTGAAAAGAGCTAGCTTTTCAGGGCCAGAAAATGTGTGGGTCCTATGTTGGCGTTGTCAGTCACAGTCATCCTCGATACCGCATGTCCTGTGATTGTCATAAACCCTCCTGCTGCGGTCTCTCAAACTGAATATTTCCACTTATTAGAGCATTCTATAACCACTTGCATCTGTGAAAGATGCTTCGTGCCAAACAAAAGATTTTCAGGTGTATAGTATCTTAATTTAATGAAGCATGCACGATCAAATATCACTTACTATGTAGCTAGTAAAAAAAGGATCTCAAAAGCTAGTATACTAACATATAAATTTTAAATGACTATTGCAGTCTTCTCAGGGCTCTGCTACTTGATACACGTATTACAGAGAGGTTTATACAGTATACTGCCAAGGCTGCCTCCTCCATGTTTTGTTTAATTTCTTTCTACATCTTTCACTGCACCGTAAACAATGAATACTTTCATGTTTATAAGTAACTATTTTTGCACTAAAGACAGAAAAGCTCAATTAGTCTTACACATGTAGTTTGTCCATAGACTGCTTTAGCAGAAATCATTGGTGCTGAAGGTATGTGTTTATGAAGCACCTTATTTTCTTGTCCATTCTGTACATGCAGCCTCTGAGAAAATGTCCAATACAGGTTCTGTGCCATTTGTGGGGATTACTCTGTGCCCCAGAATGGATATTTAATAGAAAACAGTCAGAAAAATAAAAATATCAGAATAAACAAATTTAAACAAGTAGCTTTGGAAACGTTTTTGTGTCCATGCTTTTAAAAAAGAATGACCTTGAATCTGCAGCAATTAGGCTTTTGTGGATATTTCTGTCATAGATTCAAAAAAGGATATGGTGTGGGTGTAATACATAGCAAATGGATGGTACTTTAAATTATGGATGGCTCATTAATAATAAGTTGTGAATGTTGGTTGATTTTACAATTGAGGTAGTCCTAACTTCTTTTGAGATGCACAATAAAGGTTTCTTTGACTTTTTTTGGTGCAGATAAAATGGTTAATAATCCTCTTTTAAGAGTTAACCAAAAAGAGAGGATAAGCTAAAAGATCATAGTAAATTGTTTTAGGTTCCAGGAGCTTAGCAGATACCTGATACTGTGTTTATGTTGTTATATCGTAATGCCTGTCACACAATCTGCGGTAAGTTCTCCTCCATGTATTATGAAGAGGGTGTATTGATATGTGTGCAGTGTGTGTTTAGTCACAGGCAGTGTTTCCTGTTACCAAGCCTGTGCTCTTGAACTCATCAGTGTTTATGTTTCTGACTGTCTCCTGCTCAGTTTGGGGGAAGAGATCTCTTGCAGCTGTTAAGACACTCTTTCCCAGCCACCCACAATTAACATAACTATTAACGATCCACAGCCTCCTGCTGAAGACCCACCAGTCACACTGCTGCCCTTTAAAATGTGGAAAACAATGACACTCTTCTTACAAAACAATGTCCTATTATCACTTTATTCCTTTTCATGCGCAACAAAGGGAAATCTGCTGTTCATTACTCAGCCTGTCCAGTCATTCTCAGCATGCTTTTTCTGTTTTTTTTTTGTATTTAAATGGGCTCCATTAGAAGGTTTGAAGCAGCTCCTAAAATCATCAGATTATTTAAATATGAACTTTGAACGTTGTGATATTATGCAGATATGAGGTTAAGCTTTCTTACCAAAGTGTACTAAAAAATACAAAGTTGTGGTTAAAAAGAATGGTTGAGAAACAGTTTCTAAATTAATGCAGCTTGGGTTTATACCAGTTTAAAACTTCTTGATATCACATGAGTTTAAGAGCTTTTAAACTAAGTTTGAGGGAATCTCACAGGCTATAACGTAGTGTAACCAAGAAAGAAGACGTACAGAGTAGCAAAAGAAAGGCACCAATTCTATTTATGTGCCGTATGCATATATATAGCTTACACATTTTTGGATATTGATTTAAGTATTTTTGGCTTCATTTTAATTTTGTGATGATTCATGATATGGATAATAAGACCGTGATATATTCATGTGACTGTAGCATAATCACTAAATCACCTCATTGTGACCAGCTGAACATCAAGGCTGCTGAGAAGAGAAGAATAGCTTTGTGCAGTCTGTGTGCTGTGCCGGTGAAACAGTTCTGGTGGACTCGCCAATATCAGTGAGTGCAGCACAGACGTGCAGAATGATTTGTTTGATGTTTAACTACAGACCAATCGCAGGAAGGTCCAGGAAGTGACACTATGGCTAGGAGTATTAAGCTGCTAAAGAGCTGCACTTGAAGTGACAGATGACAATTTGATTGCACAGCACAGTATCGATCACTTGATTACTTGCTACTCTTAATGCAGGCTGATCCTGTCACCTCAGGATCAGTCTGCATTAAGAGTAGCAAATAATCAAGCTACTCTACACACATCCTGGTGCTGCTTATGTCAAGAAGGCTTTCCAGAAAGATGAGCTGTGCTGAGGACGCTGTACTGGTCAGATTTGGCCCCAGCTGAATATGTGTGGGACGAGCTGGAGGCTATGCAGTATCTAGAGCTCAGAGACCAAAGAACAGGCACCTGGTTGTCCGGGCTATACAAGAGAGCTGGGACAGAATCCCACAAGACAGCATCTAATAATGAATTAAATAATGAATTTACCTATTTCAAGTCAGTCCAATCAATTGTCTGTGGACCTGCTTATACAGCATAGAAAAAAGTTCAATTATTTACAAGTACCTGTGGCATTGTTGACATTTCTACTCTTTTGATTTGTAATCTTTAGCTGCATTAACACCATTTGTTTGCACTTTGTTTTCTAGGCCTTCCGTGTTGCAGATGAAGAGCTAGGAATCCCAGCACTGCTGGATGCGGAGGATATGGTGGCTTTGAGAGTTCCTGATAGGCTCAGCATTCTCACTTACGTGTCACAGTATTATAACTACTTTCATGGCCGATCGCCGAGTAAGGTTCTCTTCATTTGAAGTTTCGATTTGTTTAGGTTTACTCATATTCCCTTTTTTGTAAATTCAACTGTTTTTATCCCATAAGCTTTTCTTCACACTCTCTATCAAGGCTGAGTGCAGAGATCAACCATCATGTGTGCATTTGTGTCATTTTTCTTTTTTTTATTGTCAAATTTGTTATTTTGTTAATAAGGTAAAATGGCATTGTGCCGGAAATTATTTAATTGGACATTCAGATCGAATCACTTTCTGGAGATCTCTACCATAATCAGGAATAGGCTTATCTCAAACTTTCTTTCTAACTCTTTCTGTTTTTTAGTTTGTTACCAGTAGTTTCTGAAAGCACTTAAGTGATTTAATATATGTGCTCTGTTGACAGAGAGTGCCTATTAGCTATAGGTAACACACTGAGTATAACAAAGCTAAAAAGGTCAATAAAGGTAAGTGACTTAAAAAGCAAGCTACCACATTTAGTACATGTAAGTAGAAATGGAGAAAAGAGACTTTGGAGCAGAGTGTAATAGTTTTAATTTATATTTTTGTCAGAGCCAAATTGGCAGTTGGATTTCCTGCTTGTGTGCGTGTTCTTATCAAAAAGAAGTCTGTAAACTGCTCAGACCTTTAAACTGTTGCAAAGCCTGAAAGTTTTTTTTTTTGAAGGAAGCAGAGCCATCTGATTTTACTAGTCACAAGAATTGTATATCATTAATACAAGGTCTAACATATTTCAGCTTGTAAATGATGTTAATAGATTAGTAGGTTCCTTTCATAAACAGTTGGTCAAATTATATTCCTTACAATATCTTAGTCTGAGAATTGTCTTGTGCAGGTAGGCCTATTTGTGATTTATGAAACAGATGCCAAACAGATAAATTCTTAGTATTCATAAAAAAAATACGATTTTTGTTAGTACTGGAAAATATTTTGTTTTATCTGTAAATCTGTGTAAACAAAAGAAAATAGACCAACATATGAAGTTTTTACATCCATTAAACGCAAAGTTCATTCGCTTTTATGGATTTTAATTTGTAATTAAAGTTAAAGCAGAATAGTGCACTATATATATATACTGTATATATTTATATTCTCGTGCACATATACAATCGGAAACGGTACAGGACGCACTCGACTGTATCTCTTCTCTTCTCTTAGTTGGGGGAATGGCGGGAATTAAGAGACCTGCCGAAGTGTCGAAGGAGGAGCCATCTGGGAAGAAGAATCAGCCGGTGTTTGCTAAACCCCACCCACCTCAGTCTGCAGCAGAAAACAGACCACCTGCATCCGTCACCATCGCAAAACCATCAAAATCCTCCCCCGCACCAGCCGGGGACGCCGACAAAGTAAGGTTATTCCTCTTTTCTGGCAATATCTGCGTGTGAAGCCCTGCCATCTAGGAGGAAACAATCTTAAGAGGGGGATAATATGTACGTGACAACACTCAGAGCATTCAACAGAGCTGCTGTTGTAACTAAACAGACATGGGCTCAGCATCCTCCACCCCTTGAAAATTGTTGGACCTGAGAAAATGGCGAACATGCGAGATGGGGATGGTTTGGACTGGATGGGCGGTAGTTTGGAAAAGGTGTAATTGGCTGGTTGCATGATGATAGCAGGATGATTTATATACTATATGTCTTAAATCTGCTTCGCCAGTGTTTGCAGAAGTATTTGAATCTGATAAATACAGTAGGATCTGTTAGTCTGGCATTATGACATGCAGGGGGCTTATGTCGGTATTCAAAACAACAGATGTTGCTGGAAAACTGGGCGTAGAGATGAAGAACTGGGAGAAAGCTGGTTTTAATTTTATGGGGGATTTTGGGTGTGCTAGAAAGGCTTGGGCTGACACTCACGACACTGTATTCAACCTCCCTTGGAGTGGGTTTTATTGTGTTAAAGCACCTCACTGTACAGATTAGCAATGATTGAATTTTCAAGAGGACTTTTAACATTTTGCTAGTTAAGAGTCATGGGATGCAAGTCTTGATAGGGGGAAGTTTTGTTACAGCTTCTTTCAGATGAATAATATAATTAATGTAGAGGAGCTCAAAGCTGCTGTGATCTTTACATGTGGTATTACATTAACCTGAAGCACTTCAGGTGATCTGAGGGCCAGAGGGTTCGTGACTTTTCCCTAATTGAAACCTGATTAAGCAGGTGTAATAAAAGGCAAGTTTAATGTAGCCAATGAAATTAGCTCAGTTTCTTATTTCTAAATTTTAGTTCTACTGTTTAGATAGCTTTTATTCTTCTTGTTTCATCTATATTGAGACTACTTTAGTTTCATTTATGACAAGTGTTCCTTGGGGATGTTCTTTGTGAAACAGTCTTTGTACAATTCTTTCTATATATGTGTAGCACTATTATAAGTTTTTCTGGAGTACAGAAGTGCTCAATGTTATACTGTGAAGACGTCGGTGTATCAACTTTCTAGAAAAAATGGGTCCGAACAGGAGCCCTCTCCTTTCCCAGGCACATTGTCCGGCTCGGTCTAATTTAGAAATAAACAAGCAGAGATTTATTCTACACTGAACAGCAGAAAGAAAAAAAAAACAAAGTTTCAGCCGCGGATCCTTTTTTTACGTGACGCCTGGCAAGACACTTTGAAGAAAGCGCAACAGCCAAAACTTTACTTCTTCCTATTTTCCATCTTGGAGTTAACCTCTGCTTGTTCCTTTGCTGCCCTCACGCTGATATAGCTTCCTGCTGTAACCTCATACATGACTAATACCACTTAGTTGAGTGGAAGGGGAAGTACTGTTATACTACTGCCTTCAGTCATTTTCCTGAGCCTTCGTACTGAAGTAACACCTGTGAAGCAACCCTTCAACACCATAACTGTGAGAGTGTGCAAACATGAAGAGCGGAATCATGTCACAATCCATCCATTCAGCCATTTCCTGGCTGCTTTGCTCCAATACAGGGTCACAGGGCCACCGGCACGCAGCGGGCGCAAGGCAGGACACGCCCTGGCTGGGACGCAAGTTCACAGACGCAAACACGCATATACTCACAGCAGGGCCAATTGTTACAAAAGCCAATTGAGCTACCACTGTGTCCTTTGGACTGGAAACCCATGCAACCTTGGGGAGAATATAGAAGCTCCGATCCAGATTGTAACCCCTGCACCACTGTGCCACCCAATACCCAATTATTAGATCAAATTATTAGAATATTTATTATACTGTAGCTATTGCAATTTCCTTTACCAAGGAAGTTAAACTGTGTATGGATGTAGGAAGAGTGTCTGAACTGCACTGGATATCCAGTATACCCAGCTTGTAAATCTGACCCCAATAATACAGTAGGTCACTCTTCCTTCTTCACAGTCCACTTTTTTAAGGTCTGTATGACCCTGCCTGCAGCATAAGGTTTTGCACAGTCATACCGAGGAATGTATGTTTTACCATGTAGTGGCCGCAAGTTCATACGTAGTGAAAATGTTTTTTTAGTATTATGTTTTCCTGGTGTATTGTGACAAGTAAAGCATAATAAACAGCTTGTTTTGCTATTTTTACACTGAGGTTTTATTATGTTATCCCAAAGGGTAATTAGAGGAACTGCCTTCTCGAACAGAACAGCTTCCTGGCTCTGTGAACTATTGGGTGTGACGCGGCCGAGTCTATTGTGGTCTTCAGTAAAATTAAGACAATACTAACACAGCTGGATGTGCTTTGATACCTCAGACCTCTATGTGAGCACTTACAGAAAACGCTGAATAAAATACACTTGTAGAACTTTTTCTAAGTTCAGAGCAGCTTGAGTAATTCAACATGTACAGTTCTCTGAGAAAAATTCAAATGTATTTATTCTTTTATGGTTCGATTTTGTGAACACAGATAGAAGTCACTTAGCTAACTATTTTAACTAAGTTTTGTGCATCTAAATTTAGGGTTGTCACAGTGAAAGATTCATAATAATGATGTATTCTTCTTTTGTTTTTGCTTTGAATGTGTGGAGTTATGTTGTTTATATAAAAAAATAATAACTGCTTCAAAGAGTCATGACTGCAAGCTTTAAAGCAACAAAATGTGAAATCTGTGCAAGGACTGAAAGCTTTTCCCAGCACTGTAGATTTGGTTTGTGCTTCTCATGGTGATTTTGTTTTTTGAAATCTGTTTTTGGCACATTACAAATTATGTGTGTGGTTCCTCTGTGTAGAAACAAAAAACAATTGTTCTCCATTTTACAGTTCTTAACCCTATTGTAAACAGAATTGCCACCTCGCCTAATAATCTCTGGACATTTTTGATGTAGAACAAGTTTTCAATTTTGTCTTAAAACTGAAGGAATTTAATGTGTAAACTGGGCACTAAATGATCTCTAAACAAGTATTGCTGTTTAGAAAACTGGTCAGGGCCAGATAATACTATGATCAAAGATTACTGTAAATAATAGCTATTTAAAAAAACATCTCAAATATTTTTTAAATTTCATTTGGATCTGTCAAATATTATTTGAACATTGCCTTTGACATTATCTTAAATTATCCACTTGTTTTGCAAAATTCCTGCTGAAATCATTTGTGCCCCATTCCTTTTACAAACAAACACATTAGATCGGTGGTCAGTGCAAGCTAGGATTATACTTTAATCAATAAGTCACAGGTTTTGGAAAAGAGTTTTCAGATGGCTGTGAACAAGTAAAATAAAAATGAGTTCACATTTTATTTTTTCACATTTTCACATTTCACATTCTTACAGAACAATTATATCGTCAGATCAAATGCAGTAATGAAGCAGTATAATGAGTTTAGTAGAAATTATGCTTTACTCTGAATTATTTACAGAGAAATTTTAAAGCCCTGTTCTGTTTCAAAGTGTCTGGGCATTATGAGCCAAGTGTTTTTTTGTTTTTTGAGAGAAGTGCACAAAGCTTCTTTGAGCAAACAGAAACTCTGCAGATGTAAACCTGAAATAGTTCTCCTTTTTCTGTCCAGAAGCAGGTTTTGGTTGAAAGCTCTAATAAAAAGGCAAGCCTCAGCAGTACTTGTGCAGTGTGCAAGAATCATGTTCACCTGGTACAGCGCCACCTTGTGGACGGAAAGCTCTATCACAGGAATTGTTTCAAGTGAGACTCCATCTTCAGTGTTTTTTTAATAACGTAACTGTATGTTTAGTATCAGCATATCCTTAAAGTTTTTTTTCATTATTCTTTTATTGAAGCAAGACTTTTGTGGCACTTGTTTTAAGGCTATTTCAAGAGAAATGCTCAGGATATATTTCTTGGACCAAATATTTCTTGGACCAAAGCCTAAGCCTATATATTTTATGAATCAATTTGTTCCTGAAATTATAAACAATAATCAGCTTGGGGTACTTTTGTATCAGTTATATACTATTTTGGAAATCTCTAGCAAGACGTTACCATGTGCTGATGACAAAGCAGCAGCCAAACATACTGTACAGTAGTTTAATAACAATCAAAATGTTATTACAGTTATGTAGTCCTTATGGTCAATGACAAAATAGGGAAATTTACCTTATCTATAGAATCATATTGCTATTCATTTTATATTAGTCAGAAATAAATGGTTTGCACTTTTTCGAGAATCCATGAAGAAGCTATGTATTGATACAGTATATATTAAGTCAGAAAAGGTGGTCAATGCAGTTAACTTAAAATCCTTTCATGTTTGAACAGGTGCAAGGAGTGCTCCAGTATTCTTCTCTCTGGGACCTATAAACCTGGTCCTGAAGCTGGGACTTACATTTGTTCCACACATCAGAACACCCAGAACAGCACCAAGAGCCCCCCGTTTTCTGCCATGTTCACTGGAGGGGGGGCGCACAAGAGCACCCCGGTGTCACCTAAAGCTGCGACTGTGTGTTTGCCCCCTAAAACCGAAAGCTCCCCAGTTTCGCGATTCCCCACGCCAACCCCACTGCCTGTGAGCACCAAGCCCAGTGATACAAACTCCACTGCCAAGCCATGGACTTCTTCGGCTCAGAAAACCCAGGCAGCTCGGGAAAAGTTCTTCCAGTCTGGCCAGCCAACGGCACCGGACCCTTCCAGCAACAGGGGGCCATCAGCGGGCGTCACTGCAGAAACCCCAAGCAGAGTCACGTCACCTGTCAGCCCAGATGACAGAAAGGACAAGGCTAGATCATTTTTAGCAAAGAAAATACCACTTGAGGGAAACGCCAACAACAACAACACATCGCTTTCCGTTGCAGGAGGGAAAACGCCTGAATTTCAGCTCAATAGCAGGTAGGTGCTCATCTGAAGTAAGAGTAATTGCACATTTTGACTTGTACTTGCTGATAACTAATTAGTAAACAGATCTAATTCTCTTTGTCTCTGATCTAAAACCTCTTTGGAGGAATAAGTTTGCTGGGCATCAGGGGGTTAAGCTCTGTGATGGATCTGAACTTCAGACTCCCCGGTTTCTTCAGGGATGTCTGCTGCAGACACAGTTTGGGCTCGGAGTACTTGTGGTGATTAACATTTCCTTCTTCTGAAATCCCACACTTACTTCACCCTGGTTTTGTCATTGGCATAGAAACTGAAAGTGCAATAAAATCTGTTGAAAAGCTTGCTAGGACATTCACAGCTAACATTGTTTGATCTTTTAGTGAAAAATTGGATTTGCATCCTTGAAAAATAATAATATATACATACAGTATGGGGAGGATGTACTGTATGGATACTGAATATCACCTGTTAGTATTGTTTCTTCACAGCAAATGTCTTAAATATGATTTTGCAAGCAACACTGACCTCTTGTGGTATCAAGATGTGTTGGGACGTGAGCTCATCTGAAGCTCCATAAAGTTGGCCCCCCTACAGACAGCGCTGCGTACAGTATATATACAGTAAATGCACATTTACACAAAGTGTGTTTCTGAAGCCATGTAGTTCTTTATGTGTAATCTATACTTCATAGGTTGAACTGTAGTATTTTCCACTGAGTCATGGTTAGGAAACACATTGTATTGAAATGTCTTTTAGAGTGAGAAATGAAGATCGAAATAGGCTTGATATGCATTTATTGCTAGAATAATAGTAGCAAAGTGTCATTGCATTGCTATCTTAGGTTTTTCATGCATGTTATGATCATTGTCCATTTTTTTCATGACAACTTAGTTTTTAAATAAATAGTGGAAACAAAATATGAACAAGTCAAATTTATGAACACCAGTTGCATAGGGATTCCCTGAAGTCAGAAGTTTAATTTATTGATTATTGCTTTCCATTAGCCCTATTCCTCCCCATTAAACACCTAAACAGGCTTTGCAAATGCATTGTACATTTTAGAGATCCCAGTGCACTGTCCACTCCTGATTAGTTATGTGTGAGGTGATGTGTACAGGGCTGCTAGTTAAGAAAGATGTAAGTATAACATCATATACTGAGCAAAATAATATTTGAAAGTGAAGTTGACTGTTGAGAAATTATTTGCATGGGTTCAAACTCCACTCATGAAGAGCATAAACCTATCAGAAGTCTGTATGGGGTTTTCTAGCAACATGAATGCGTCCACCAGCCTGTCACGACAACCTTTGTTCCACTAGACTTGGGAATAAGTCTCCTGCCTCAGAGGTGCCCAGCTGGAGGAGGGACAGTCCTGTGTCAGTGGGATCCAGACCCGTTTCGTCCTACGAGCCCTCGCCACAAGCGGAGGACAGCAGTAACGAGCCACCGTGGCTCAAAGCCACTTCCCCAAACAGGTCTTCCAGCCTGCGAACTCCAGTCAAAACACCTGCCCTCTCGCCAGGCGCCAAGGGTAAGCGTTAATCACAGAGCCAGCGAAGGCACGACGTGAGCATCGTCCGTGTGAAGTGACCGTGAAAGGGTTTCTTGTCTTTAACCGTTGCATCGGTAAAAATAGCCCTAGGAGGGGCAGGTATGGGCCCCTGTCCTCTCAGCCAACACCAGAAAACTGCCCCGTCCAAACAAATTCATGTGGCTTTTATAAACATGTTTAAAGTATCTTAATAGTAGCTGAAATGTTTATAGGAGAAAATGTCGTTATTTTAATGTTTCAGGTGTTTCTGTGATCTGCCGAATGCAGATATTGTGGCATGTGCAGAGGTCAGTCACAGCTCCGTCTGTTGGGCTGGAAAGTGAGTGTCAGACAGATGTTTCAGTCTTCATAACCATACCTCAAAAATCACGTGAAAACATCAGTGCAGTGTCTCGAGGGAAACAAGTCCCATCTTATTTTTCCCAATTCTGTTTGAGTTACTCAAAATCTATGCATCTCAGCCTGTGACAACTGGCACTGTGGGAAGGTCCTTTTCCAAACTGGTGTGTGTGAAGTCCGAGCAAAGACAGGCTGTCTGACCTCTTGCTGCTAGCCACAGAGAAAGATATCAGGACAGACAATAATAGTAATGAGGTCATTAATATATTTAAGAACATGGCTCACAGGAGGATACTCTTTTAAAAATAAAAAATGTGCAAATGAGCATTACAAAAACAATGCAAGGTAAATAAGCTCTATTGTACGTAGTTACATTGCTGTTGTTGCTGGTTATTCTTTAGGTATTTAGTTGGAGTCAGAATGTAGTGGATCAGGAAGGCAGTAAACATGACTTTTTGTTTCTCCTTGGTCTACAGATGCTGATACCAATGAGTCTCCTGCAGACTGGCGGTCTAAACTCAAACCTGTCTTAAAAGGAGCTTCATCAAAGTAAGTATGTAGCCTGCATAACACATTTCCCCCGATTGAATCCAGATTCAGGCGTCTTCACGTGGGAGACTGTGACAGCCGATTTGCGGAAGCACAGGTGGACACACCACGTGTGAGGCGAGAGCAGGAGCTCGCTGTGTATCTTGAGACACCTGCTGAGGATTACTCAGGAACTTTCGGCAGTGATCTGCAATTAACGTGTGCACTGGTTTGCTTCCTAGCTGGATTTTAACCACATCGGGCATCTATGATGAGATAGTTAGATGAGGAGGTGCTCTGATGCCAAATCTCTGATCTGGCTGTTGTCCTGTCCTTCCTGTAGTTCCTGTGTAGAATTCATGTTATGCTTTATTTAAGGAAATGGTAGACATACAAGGTACTGTATTAATCACAGACCCTCACTTAAATTTGCCATATGATATTCTTGAAGCCAAGGCTACATTTCTAAGCCTTTATGTTGAAGAATTATGACTGATCCATAAAAAGTATTCCCCCAGGGTGGTGGGAGTCCGGAGCCGATCCCAGCAAAGAGACACAGACACGCACACACTCACCCCTGGGCCAGTTTTCCCTGAAGCCAATTAACCTATCACGGTATCTTTGAACTGTGGGAGGAAACCGGAACACCTGGATTAAACTCATACAGATTCGGGGAGAACATACAGTATAAACTCCACACAGACAGAACGCCGGGTGTTGAAACCACCAACACCACACCACTGTGCTGCCCCTGTATAATTGTTCTCTCTCTTATTTCCTTTCTCTTTGCTGAGCTCTTTGATTAACTCAATTTCAAAGTGTTGCTCTGTCCCTTTAAAACCCCCACTTCTTTTTCCAGGCCCACAGATGCTAAAGACAAAGGCTCTTCTATGTCCGCCTCTGAAATAAGGAAAACAGATGTTCCCCCTAAGCCCTCACCTAGCAGCGGTTTGCTCTCTCCGGCCTCCAAACCCACTTCAACCTCCACCTTTTCCACGACCATCTCCATTCCTGCAGCTCCCAGCCCCGACAAGCAAACAGCACCTTCTCCCAGGCCCTCTCCCAACGGGCCCAGTGGGCAGAGGACTCCTGGTGAGCCCTCGTGCACTTGAGTGGTTTGTTATCACAACAGCAGTAGTTCTATTGCTTTTTAGTGATAAGCCAGTGTAGCACGAGAGCTTTCATATAACCTTTTCTTTCATGTTCTGTATTGCGGCTCAGAAATAAATGAAGTCCAACAGGGTATGTAAATGCAGCCTAATGCCAGTGAATGGTGCTATTTATCCAGTGCTGCCTTCTGCCTATAAGATGCTTTCAGGACCGGCAGAAAGCTTCTTTTCAAGATAATTGACTTTTCAAAAGAATGCGATAGGCTGCGGTGGTCCAGTTCAGTTATGACAAGCTTGTGCGAAACCGTTGTGTCGCTGTCACCTGCAACAGATGCACATTGTCCTTGTTGATGTTTTTTGTCCTTTGAAATGGGTCCGATTGAGAGTTAACATTGAACTTAATGTAGATAATATTCAGACTCTCTGAAGGTACTGGGCATCGTTAGGCTTGTGTTTTAAGGTAGAAAGTAATACAGGAATGAAGGGATATGTTTTTGTTGGACTTAATTTGTTTTAAAGAAAATACCATCTTGACATCCTGCTAATAATAACCATCATTCAAAATGCATATAAACAGCACTTTTATCCCAGAATGCTTTACGTAAGAGAGGGTAGTCCCTTCCTCCACCACTAAAGTGTGTCTGGCACCTGGGTGTCTCGTTGCTGCTATGCACCAACAGCGCCAGTATGCAGTACTTTGAACAGAAAATTACTTCACTGGCTGAACTTTAGGAAGGCCTGCTTGTTTAAGTCGGGAATGTGCTTTAGCCAGTATACAGGAATGAACACATCTCTTCTGTGAGCAGTGCCACAGGACCTGGTTGACACCTCCTACAAGTGCAGCCATCTAGACTGTCCGTCGAAACTTGCTCCAGCAGGAGCAGTACCTGGTGGTGTGTTTAAACTTGAGTTCAGCCCAAAGACAATCGGCAGGTGGCACTTCTGGTGTGTTAGATGTTAGTGAAAATGGTAGCATCATTTAATATGTTGTACTGATTCTTTAAATCCACTTAATGTGGTTTATTTTTCAGTAGAGACAATGGCAAAGTTTTTCACCAGGGAGTTCAGGCCCAGAGTTCTGCTGGTTTAGTAGCTCACTTTCATCAATGGCACCTGTTCAGCAGGGACAGGGAAGTGGACAGGTGCCATTGATTTAAGTGACTGTTGGATGCCATTGATTAAACGCTCTAACAAGGACTAGCGATTAGTAAATTATATATTAGACTTGGTCCTGGGATAAAAACCTGTCTTGCTCTTCAGGACTTGGTTTGGGAGCTGCTGCTCTGTGCAAATGTTCCCACCTGGAAGTCTAACAGGCTTGATTAGATGAAGAGAGATGCTGACAGAACTGCAGTGATTAGTTCACTGGCAGCTACTCTGTAGCCTTGAGCTCTTTTATGTGTGGGGTTTACTATATCAATTGTCTGATCCAGTTTTTGCCAGAAACTTTATCAATTCAATGTTCTTCTTTCTTTCAAGTGTACGTGATTCCTGTTGGAATTTTCCTCTATCAGAATTTGTCCAAAGGTCTTACTTCAATTCCTTTTAAAAAGGAGAGTAAAGGGTAAAAGACTTGGGAGAACATGAGGTCATGTAAATAATACACAGCAGGTCACCTCATGTTGTCTGATCATGTTCTCTATGTTCTCATTCTGTTTTCCTGTTTTTTGGAAAGAATATTATTTTACAAACAAGTACAAATATACGCTTAAGCCTCCTGCAGAAATACAAAATACATTTTGAACACAAACTCACCTAAACAAACAGTAGAGGAGTCTTAGGTATGCACTACTTTTCAGAGATCTGCTGTTTGTGACCAGGAACAGTTTGAATAATTCACTAATTACTTTTTCGTTTTAGTTACCATTAATGTGAATTTTTACAAGGGCTCACCTGCTAAAGATGTCACCAGCCCTGAATCTAAGGCACAGAAGGTAAATGCTTATCGCCTTCTTCTCGTTCTGTTACATTATATTCTGTGATTCAGTCATACCAGATGTGAATGTATTAAGTGGTCAAAGACTTTTTTAGCAGAATGTGGATAAACTAGCCTCTGGACAAAATTAAATAATAGTACTTTTGAGGAAAAAAAAACAGCTGAAAATGAAATCCTATTGAATGTTTACAGTTTTCCTGTAAAAAAATAAGTTTAAAAAAAATGTACATTACTTTCCCTCTCGTGTACCTCTACTTTCCCTTAAGTATTTCCTTAAAAACAGTAAATGTGTTGTACGTATAAACATAACTAGTTATGAAGGCTGTGTGCTGAAAGATATCTGGTTAAATTTTTCCAAGCTCCTTCTATAAGGAAGGATGCCAATACAAATAGATGATTTCACCCAAATCTTTTTTTCTCTGTCTTTCATCATTTTCTCACCTAGAAACAAAGTGAAGTAAGTCATGTACAAACTTTTTCAGTAAGTGAAAATTTTCAAACGAGTGTCTTGTCCCCAGGCGAAACAGGACTACATTCCCCAGGAAGAGATCCTGAAGGAGCTGGAAGAGATTGAGGACCATCTCAATGATTTAGAAAAGAAAGGCATTGAGATGGAGAAACAGCTTCGCAGCTATGAGGGAGGTGAGAGAAGAGAAGCCTTCAGTTTCAATTTATCCCCCCACCCAACACATTCCTGACAAACAAGCTACTGATAACTGAATGACTGAAGCTGACAATGGGTAAGATGAGAGCCCTGAATTCTGAGGAAGATTTGCATTAGCCCATACGGTCTTCACATGCAGATGCGCTCTCTCCCAAGCCTCAGATAGCTTGTTCTGTCAAAGTTTAATATACAGGACATTGAGCTGGATGATTACTATGCTGTGCTTTGTAACACAGGCAATACATTATGCTTAGGGTCTGGATCCCAGGAAATGAGATCAGACCTCAAAGGACTGTACAACATGAATAGCTTGACCTGAATCAAAAGTAAAATTGTCATCAGTTTTATTGAGTTTGAAATACTGACAGCTGCTAGGGACAGTCTGAGAGCTGAATTTGTACTGCTGTCACAGACAACAAAAATATGGTGAGACAGAAAAGTTGAACGGGTTGGGTTTTTTTTTCCGTGCGTTGTAATTTTTATACGATCGTTTTAACTCTGCTTGTGGTGTTTATTCACATTTAATATTTTCATACAATGCTGTGCGTTCCACCAGTTATGATGTTGAATATCAAAGATATATTAAAACCAGTTTGGCAGAGCACAGTTCTTTGGTTCACTAGGGTAGGTCCTTGTGCCAGCCCGAAAGATCAGACTGTGATTGAGGAAATTTGTCAATTTATATGAACCAATGTGCGACTGCTGGTTTGAGGACAGATGTAATTTTTAGGTTTTCTGATTCCCCTTGAGACGGTCTATTTCCTAGCAGATTGTTAAAGCCCTGAAATTGTTGCTCATCGTCAGACTGTGCGGTTTCGCTGTTCTCTTCCTGGAAGAACTGCAGTGTCTTGCCGTGGTTTTCCCCGTGTGTCCGTCGGCCAGTGTGCGGCCCCGCGCGCTTCCTCTCCCCGGCGCGTCGGGGGAGACACGCGGGCCCCTGGGGGCTCCGACTGGGGCTCCGATCCAGCCTGAAGGGGTGTGACCCAAAAACTGTTCAATTTGTGGAGACTGGAGCCACATGAGCCGAGTGTTTGAGTGGTGCACAATACCGCCTTCCCTTCCTGATAGCCTGGGCTCTCGGAGGGATTGAGGAGCAGGATGGAAATAGACTCGTGTGCCGGCCATGGTGCGTGGATGGGGAGGGGCAGCGGTGTGATTGCTCAGCCCGTAATGACCTTGAAGACTGAGGCTAGGAATATAGGAACAGCGGCACTGTACAGCCCCTGTACCTTGGCCCAGGGTTCGTGTCGCTCCGTGTCTGCTGCATCGATGAGTCACAGATTAAAAAAGGCGACTAATTCTTCTGCTTGATCTGTGCATCATCTGGACTTACTAGCACTTTGGTGGGTGATTTTTCTCCCTGGGTGATCAATGCCATCTTTATAAGAAAGTGCATTTACAGATTAGATGCATCTCTGAATTGACAGCTGCTGTACTGCATGTGCATGTGTCTGTAGGGCTGTAAGAGTCCCACTCAGGGTGTCCCACTCCCTCTCACTGTCACCTGCTAAGGATATCCAGTAGTTATTACGGAGGAGAAATTGAAATGTATTTCAAATATTGACGAGAGGTTTTTGGAAAAGCAAGAAAATCTTGACGTTTTATTCCGTTTCCCCTAAGAAAATGATCATTTAGAAAGTGTCTCTCATGCGATTTTGTCTCTACCTCAGAGGAAGAAGAGGATGCCTTGATGGTGGAATGGTTCAATTTGATCAGAACAAAACAGATGTACATGAGAAGAGAGTCAGAGCTGGTTTACATGTAAGGGACGTTTCTTGTTCACTGTTTTCATTTTTGGTTTCATTCCTTTGAAACATTATCCTAAAGATAAAAATATAAGTCTACTTTATTATGTTTATTTCTCGGTTTGCTAATCTTAAAAACAATATATCCCTACAACGCGTTACTTAGAGGAACTAAGTTATAATTATTCTCATGTGCTCACACATCATGCCTTCAAAACTCAAATTTGACAGCTCTGATTACAGGTTACGTTTCAAGCCTTTGTTGAAAGCATATTTTGACTGACCTGTTTCTTGTCATTTTTAGAGCAAAGACTCAGGATTTAGAAGAACAGCAGCCGGGGGTGGAAGAGGAGCTCAGGAGACTACTGGAGAAGCCAGGTGGGTAGAAAGCAAACCGTTTGAAATCGGAACTTCGCTTGGCAATGAAGGATGATACACCCGCTTCTGAACTGACTGCTCCGTGATGAGTTATTGTTTGCAAAGAAAGCAGCAGTTTGTGCACCGTCCTTTACCACTTGCCCCTCAGCAAGGCGCCTTTTCCCTTCTCTCACCAGAACATCGGAAGACTCCCGCGGACAAGAAACGGGAAGAGGAGCTGATGAACAAGCTGGTGGAAATTGTCAATGACAGAAATGCCATTATAGATGGGCTTGACGAAGACAGGCTGAGGTCAGCCATTCTTATGGGAGCGTCACGCGTTCTTTCAGGCATCATTTCCATTCTGCTTATCGTTCTGCGTACCACCATGAAAAAAATAGGAAGTGGATTCATCAGGCCAAACCATTTTTATGAAAGCTGACATTAAAATAGTCTCAGGATGTGCGTTATTTCCTTTCTGTCTATTTGTGGACCTTTTGTTCCATTCTATTTTAAGGTCAGTTATTGTCCGTTTGAGTACAATGTGTATTTACCTCACACACAATGTGTATTTAGACCACTTTTTTTAGACCAATATATTACACCACTGATAAACATGATATATTTGTCCTAATTTTCAAACACAGCAAGAATGTACATCAAAGATTATTTTTTCTGTAAAAGTGTAAAAAACAACAAAGGTTTCATATGCATTTTTTATTTATTTCTTCTTTATTTATGCTTCAGTTATTCGTTTGTTTTATTCATTTCAGGGAAAGGGAAGAAGACCAGCAGCTGAATGAAATGATGCAGAAATTTGGTGAGTATTACCTTTGTGTGCGAACTTATGTAATATGCAAAGCTGTCTTTGCAATGAAGAAAATAATTCAAGATTCGTACTGTGTAAGAGTTACTAGCAAACTTATTTTTATTGGAAGTCTTACTATAAGATTTCAAAACAATCCAATAATTAAAAAAGGAATTTCCAGTATAAGATTTTTAAAATATCAAAGGAAAGTTGAAAGGTTTCTTTGGAGTCTGTGCAAAGTAAACACATCCATGGGAATGGTAATTATTTTTCACAGTCATGCCTGATCTTATAGTGTGGGAAATAAAATCTAGAGATAAGGCCATAGATTTAAATGTTTCCATTCTTAAAGAAAATAAATGAATTTTAAAAACATAAATGCATGATTTACTGTATATTTAATCAGAAATTAAAATGGTAAAATTGTAAGAAAAGTTGTTAGATTTGTAATCACGCTTTCAAATGATTTCCTATCTTTTAGGTGTTCTAAAGATATGCCATTAAAAAGCAGTCTAATTTTTCTAAGTTAATTGTTCACATTTTATTGCTTGATGAATATCTGACCTTTGCATGATTCATCGGCCAAGGGTTCAGATACTGTCCTTGTTTGCTTGTCTGTGTGCTTCTTGCTGTGTCACACACTTAAGACAGTTCAGTAGTGTCTGATGTTACAAGCTAAAAACAATGAAGAAACCCTCAAACTCTTCTAAAGCTGAAGTCCAATTCCTCTTGCAAGCACTTGACGTCCAGTAGCCAGGCTTGCAGAAAAGCACACAGCTATGAAAACGAGACTTGAACCACAAGTTACAAGGTGGCATGTGGGCTTATCCATTCCATTCACTCTTCAGTTTGCTCAATTTGAAAGGTCAAGCATCTTTATAAGATGTGTTACTTAAGACTCCATTACTTTTATTATTTAAAGAGCATTGTTTTGTTGAGCAGTTCGCTGTTTTAGGGTTCAATAAACATGTTAATCACAAAAAAACACGATGGCACGCCTGCAAAATTAAATACTGATCTGTGGAACTGCAATCAATTACTTGATTTCACTTAATAGACTGAGATCCATACTGGTAAGTCCTTGACCTTCCACATTTATTCCGTTGTGTGAAACTGATGTAATTTTGTATCTATTCCGAGGGCTTCCCTAGAGGCAAATGGAGTAAGTATCGTTACTACAGATGTAAAACTATAGGAAATGGCTTCAGCATGTGGATAAGTATAGAATGGTATTGGATTATATGAACACGCTGGGACACAACGTAAAATGTTAAAGTAAATATTTGTATTAGCATTACCTTGTTACTTTTGAGTCTTTTTCATTCTGTGCTGCTACCAGTGTATGGTGACCCTTACCAAGATAAGTAAAGTGAAAATGGATTGATGTCACTGATATAACATGAGTCATTGTGGATTCTCCCAGGCCTCCCAGTGTGGAGATTGCTTTTGCAATTTCGAGTCCTGTGTTGCTGCCATTGTTTTGAAGAGCCAAGTAGCTTCACTTATTCATTACGAGCAAAAAAGTGTTCCCATACGTATTTACTATGTGTGCTTTCCACTCTGGCCGATTTCAAGTTTTCCTGGTCCCAGTTTTAGAGTTTAGGGCATTTTTTTTGTCATGCCTGTTCCTAAATTTGAAATACTTCAGTTGTTATGCAAAAATAGTGGTTGTAGATGTATGACTGACCTTGCCTGCTATTTCTTAGTTACTGCAGAGATGTTTGTGAGAGCTATTTTATTGTCTTATGCTTTGAAGAGTTTTCTAATTGCATGCAGTGCTGTGCATCTGGTCATGTGCTTTTTTTTACTCCCCTTTAAACAGACCTAAAGAAAGACAAAGGAGAAAAGAAGAAAATGTCTCCCTTTGCAAAACTATTTAAAAAGAAGGATAAACCGAAAGAAATCATGGAGGAATAAGTATCCAGGGAGCCACTTTTGCCATCCGAATTGTTCTTCTGCGACTGTCACACATTTTTTCATTCCAGTGTGATTAGTGTAAGCATCCACACCTGGTGGAGTCAAACCAAAATTCATATAAGAATAGTGTAACATTTAAAGTGTATATTTAGATCAGGAATGAGGAGCTTGCACAGGTGACATTGAAGATGCATACTCCTGAAGTACACACATAGTGCCTGCTACCCTGTGAGTATCTCAGTGATTTCTAAACACCAAGTCCTTCACACCATGTTCCTTCTTGGTGTGTCAACATCTGAGAATTAAGATTAAATACACTTTCATTGTCTTAACCTTAAATAAAGGCTGCTGTACAGTATCTAACGCTTTCAGGAATTTGTGAGCATCCTAAAAGTATCATGCAGTGTGATGATTTACATGTGCATGATGTTTTTAACTTGACAGTACCGTTTTATTTTACAGCACTGTGAAAACAAGTACTGTGCAACAATATGAAAGGTATTGCTACTTTTCTTAAAAATTGAATTTTAACTGTAATATACTGAAAGTATTTTATTATACTGTAAAGACAATGAAACAGTAATATATATTTTGGAGTTTACCCAATAAAACTGACTTATACCACTGAGATTACCACAAAGTAATTACATTCAGTAGTCTGTAATAATCTGTAAAGGGCAGCCAATTACTTTACATGCTCACTTAGTTTCTGCCCCATGTCTGGTGATATAAAAATCTCATTTTTTTGGTTATAGTTTAGATGTTTCTCAGGATGGGTATGTGTAGTATGAAATTTGTTGCCTCTCTTCCTCTCCATTACAACAAACATTTTTATTTTTAGATTGTGCATCGAATCGCTTTGGTAACGAATTGAATAATTGTTCTGTCAAAATGGAACCTCGCGAGTGAATCAAATACAGTTTTTGATGCACGTAAGTGTGTTTATGAAATGAAGAAGAGTATTAAACTGGTTTAAACTAGTTGAGAATGTTAAATTGAACTTTGTGGAGTTGCACTTTATTAAACAGACCTACTTATTTTAAATCAACTGGCCTTGCTTTGTTTATAACCTACAGGAATAAACACAAAGGTTTGAAGTTAATAGTTGTCAATAGGATGAGTAAATGGAAGAAAAAAACATTTTTAAAATTGGCATAGAAAACCAGGTTACTGAATATGTTGAAAATGCATTACTATTCTACAAGTATATTTGACTCAAATCGGATCATAAGTACTTACTACTGTCATAAGCAATTGATCTCTTAAGCATTGTGTAAGATAATATGAAGTATCAAGTATATTGTGAAAATACATTTCTTTATATTTTTCAGAAGAGACAATACCTTCCAGCTTTGGGAAAATGGTTTCTTTGTTGTTCTATTTACAAATAAGGCAGAACTGCTATAATTGTGCGATTGTTTTAACATGGAAATATTGGATACAAATATTCCTAGCATCTTTTAATCAGAAGGTGGCAGTATAGATTTAATTGTGGCAGGGGTTGTAATGGCAGGACTCTCTGGCCTCATTTCTGTTCTTGAAATTGTTTTGTTAGTTTTTTGTGTATGTGTGACTACAAACTGCAAATCACTGTATTATACTGCCCCTAAACAGATTAAAAAAAAAACTCCATACATTTTTAAATTGTGGAAAATGTGATATCGTTTTCACCTGCACCATTTGAACAATTTTTTTTATATTCTTTGGTGCTAAGATCTCACATTTGTTTAAGAAATGAGCAAAGCTGTCACTGGTCTGAAATCTGTATTTGACACCTGTCAGTAGACTCTCGTCAGCTTAAAGATTTCTATGTGGTGTGGAGCTGTATATTGTTATATTTCTTGTACTTGTTTAAAATAAAAAAATGCATATCTTTTGTAATCCGTTTTCAGAGCTCTTTAGCATTACTACATTTGAAAAGGAATGCAAATATACATTTTTAGTTGTAGATGCATTTGTTTTGTGTACTTTTTCATGTTTTATCTTTTTTATGAATCTAACTTTTATTTGCTGTCAAACCTTTAAGATTTGTGTTTGTAACTGATGGGATGGATATGCAGATTGGTTGGAAATGGCATCAGATGTTATGGATGATTCTCCAGACAAGTTATTTCTGTTGAAATGTGAAGAGCCATCTTTTTAGCAGTGAACTCTCTAGGTGAAATTTCTTTTTTTAAATAATCGTCTTCCACATTTTAAGTTTTAAACAGCGTTCTTATAAGAATATTTTTAACAGATCTAATTTGCTAAATTATTTTTTTAATTAGTAAAGTCTGTCATGAATGGGTTTTAATGTTTAGCTTTGTGTTGGTAACACCTGTCTCACAATGTTCCCAGCTACTTTTTAAATTGCATTTAGAAGAAAATCAGTTCTTGGTATACTAATGCGCTCCTTAACTGCAGATGTAACATAGTGGTGATCTACAATCAAAACAGTTTTGTTTGGTTTCTTAAGTTTTCATCTAGTTGTGTTGAATATTTATTTTCTGCTGAGAGGCTTAAAGGAAACTTTCTGAATTCTTAGAGAAATGTGGTCCATGATCTTAAATACACTCCCTGGTTAGAAAATGCCCAAGACACATTGTCTGACCTTAGTGTTTGCCCTTTTTGAAATGTTCTGTGTGTTTCAAACTTTAAAATAAAAACCGAATGCTTAGGCACTCTCGGCGCTTTGACGCGCAGTGATTTAATTTCGCTAAAATTACATTTTCCTACCGCTGCCATTCAGAGGCAGCATAGGAGATTTAAACGTTTAATAATTTGAAGGACTTGCTGTATATAAGACACCTTTGCCTCCCCTGATTAAAATCAGATAAAAGCAAGTCTTGGAAAGATTTTTGTGTTGCTCTTGGGTCAATGAGAATTTCTTTTATGAAAGAAGGTTGTATAGATCGGCTTCTGCGTATTTCTGCTCACCAGCAGATGGCGCGTATGTTTGGGTACTGGGACCAATATGAGAAGAATACATTGAGTCTTCCAAATCACATGTAATCAAGCTCTGGAAAACACATTGACTAGAACAATGGCTTTAGTCAGACCTGTCCAGGCCTCGCCGTGTAGGATCATGGTTTTAATTTGTATGAAGACTCATTTTCTTTTGGAACTTTTTTGGCTCAAACTCAGCAGTAAAGACATTTTTTTCCTTCTTTGAAAAAAGAAAAAAAAACATATTGGACATAAAATAAACATTTTGGAGAATAGAGCTGCATTGCATCACATTCACTGTAATATCAATGGTGTACTCTTCAAATCCTAGATAGTAAAATCAGGTCCTGAATTTGTATGAAGGCACTATTGACAGTTGACAGATCATGTCTGCTGGCTAACATGAAAGCCACAGGCAGCCTTTAAAAGAAATATTTCCCTCTGTCGATATAGATAATATTAGCAGTTTATTGTGGTTGTGTCACAAAGAAGCTGATGACCAGACTGGGGAAATCAGTATCGTACTTGGACATTATTCTGTCTCTTTTTATTCATGAGCTGAATTTAAGACCCTTTATTTAAGGACTCTGGTGGGGGGGTTGGAAATAAGCAAAAGAAACAAAAAAGTATGTTACAGGAATTAACTATCCGTCCTAAAAAGTGCGAATGTGCTCCTGATAGGCTGTCATTTTTTCGGGAGCTGTAGTGATGTGGTCGTGAGTCTGGGGGAGGGGAGGGGGCACTGGTGGAGGCTAATATGAAATGTAGCAAACAGAATGACAATCAGGGTTGAATATGTGTGATATAAGAGTTAATTAAAGCTTTGCATTCCATCTTGTGCAAATGCTTGCGCTGCTGCAATTAGGAATCAAAGGCAAGGGTTTAATGTCAGGGGGTGTCTAATACATGGTTTTAACAGGAGTAGGACCTGATTTGTGAAGCTCCTGGCGACAAACAGGCATTTACAACAGGCACGACTAAGAAGGGCATTAATATTCATAAGTAAAACAATTCTTCCTGTGAATGCCTGATGTTTGAAATTAAAACCAATGTGGCCAGCTCTTTTGCCCATGTGCTACTACTCCTGCAAAAACAAATCACCAGTGGGAAAAGGGGCCAATGTGTTTTTAAGAGGAGACGGGTAAGGATGGAATTATTTTTTAATCATTCTTTGCCAGGCTTGACTTTTGATAAGATCAAAATGAGCTAAAACATCTTTTTTTCAAAGCTGTGTTGGTATAATAGAGAACAGAGGCCTAGTCAGAGTACAGAGAATATTGGTGTTGTCTGAATAATAATACAGTCTGGTCTTGTCAACATCTTTAATAAGTGATATTGAGCCTCAGTGTTTGGAGGTAATGATAGGAGGTCAAGTGTCAAAGAGAACTGCTCACGATTGCTTAGTAAAATGAACAATTGCTGAGTGTTTCAGGGATGTTTCCAACCGAGCTATGAATATCATAATAAAGTGAGATAATGAGTTTCTTTGAACTAATATTAAACTTTCTGTGATTGTTTTTAAGGAACAAACTGTGAATGTAAAAATTATCCTAATAATGCTTTGGTATGTGATATCTGAAGTGACTGAAAGGGTTCCTTAATTAATCTGAGGTAATTTGAAATAATCCTTCAAATAAAACAATGAAAAAGAGAATCTAACTTGGTTGGTAATGGGGGTGTTTTTTAAATCCAGTGTGTGAGTGTGGCTCTGTCATCTTCTATACTGTGAGCTTCACACTCAGAGTGTGATTCTCCAAGTCTCTGCAGCGAGTTACTATAATTATGATCCCAGAGGTAATTTCATCAGGATCATTAGCACTGTCGAGTAAACAAGAGGCCTGCTTTTAATTATTGGCCATCCAGGCAGAAGAGCCAGCACTTTCATCATCAGGATCATCATAATATTTGTACAAAAAAGAGACAGGCATATCCTGTGCAGATTGGTTCTGGGACAAAGACAAGGGAGAAGAAAACCTTTGTTGCTTTAATTATGGACTACATTTCAAGCAGCAGTTGTGTGTTCAGTGTTTCTGAGACTGTGGATGTCACTTACTGAAGTGAAACCTTACTGAAACTGTGTTGCTGTTTAAGACCATTTTAAGTTGTATGTGCTCAATTTATTTTGTTGTTGTGAAACCAGTGAATTTAATTTCATAAGGCTTAATCCCTGAGCTATTTGTGCAAATTAGTTATTTTAATGTAAAATGTGCTGTTCTCTTGCGTTGATGATGTTGTACAATAATTCTTCTAGCACTAACCATGACTTTTTTTACCTTTTTGTTCTGCACAATGGAAGAGGGGGGAGGAATCTGAGTCTCTCAACCTTCAAAAGTCGAAACAAAAAAATTGACAGTGAAAAATAGAAATGGTGTTTTCCTCAATGCGTTCTCATGCATAGAAAGTCATCACTTGTTGTGAATCGGGATATTACTAAACGCCTGACTTGAGAGAGGTGGCAAGTGCAGCGTTCGTCTAATTTTTGAAATTTTTACTTTTTTTAACAGCCCTAATCCAGCTAAGTTATTAACAGAGTGCCAGCAATCCATGCGCGTTTCGACTCGACATGATCACGACTTCTTTAATTTACTAGGGTACTAAAGTAGATTTGTGTACCATATGTGCTGGCCTTGAAAACTCCAGCCCTTATCCCTTTGCTGGCTTTATGGATCAGTAAAAAGCCCCCACAACACAAATTACCGAGTTCCCGCCACATAATACAATTCTAACAAATGCTAATGTCTTATTCTACCCACACCCAGGACTGGCTCAGTGGATTAGTTATGTTACCTCTGATTTGCATTGGCACAAAACCCATATAAGATGATATCCATAACAATCCATTAAACATGCAGAACAGCATGCCTTTTTAATACATGCCCAGCATTTGTGCTCATTTTTCAACAATAAACATGCACTATTGATGTAATTATGTGGATGTCTGATGATGGAAAATGATGAAAGACCATAGGGTTATGGAGACAAAAAATGGGCTTTTATTTTTTTATTTTAATGGCAATAGTTAACAATATTTGCCCCAAAGTGGTGCAAGCCCATTAAAAGGGGAACAATTCAATATTTTTTTTCAATGCAGAATATGTCCCGATGTACACCCCACCCTGGGATTTAACACAATCTTTAACCCAGTTTAGAGGAGCACCAGACATTAGGACAGGGAACTGAATTGCCGTGCCATGTCTCTGCAGTTTTGGAAGACTGAATGACGGAAGAGTTATTGTGAAATCCTTCAAACACATCTTATAGCACAAATGTCAAAACTTGTAATGTGGAAGTATTCAGCAGTTATCAGGACATTGTAAGTATAAAATGGCAGAGAGGCAAAAAGAATGACAGCAAACTAACAGATGGAATGGGTTGTTTTTTCCTCTAAAGTAAAGACAACTGGCTTTGTATGTGACTTTGTACACAGTCGATCTGTAGTGGTTGAAATATGGTCCTAGAGACTTCTGCCAAAAGGATATTTGACACACCCATCAAATTCATTCTGTCATCCCATCTGTGAATCATTGTTCAAGCTACAACTGGGACCCCCTAACTCACAGATTTTGTCACAGCATTTTATTGTTAGAAATAAAACATTTATAAACAAATGGTAAAGCAGGAAGTGGACCGCTATAGGGTCACCTGCAATTATCATGAATTGACAAACTTCTGCAAGGTAGTCACAAATTAGTTAACGGGGATCTCTGAAATCAAGCATGAATCTCAGTTTGCTGTAAGTGGTTAAACTGGTTACAGCCAGCCCTGTATTGTATTCACTTATACAATCATAGCCAGACAAAAAAAAAGTTGTTTTTCTTGAAAAGTGCTCATAAATAAAATTCTTATTTAAAATTATAATTGGCCCAATCCCTGTTTATTATTCTCAAACAGAAAAAAAACTGAAGTGTTATGTAGCTAATATTACAGAGACTAGCTACAAGTAATTTAATTATTTG